TATCACGAACTGCAGTCACCCCCGAGCTTGCTTTTGGTTCTGCTCTGCCCTCTGCTGGCTCATGGCCTCCTCTGCTCCTGCAGATTGAAGAGCACAGGATATGTGTCTGCCTTAGGAAACGTCCGCCCGCTGAGTAAACAAGGCAGGGAAGCAGGTGTCAGAAAGATGCTGTCACGTGAGTCCCTCTGCGTCCAGCAAGCACCTCCTAAAATTCTCTTTCTGCAGAATTGGCCAAGAAGGGAATTGATGTGATTTCCATTCCTAGCAAGTGTCTTGTCTTGGTACACGAACCCAGATTAAAAGTGGACTTAACAAAGTATCTGGAGAACCAAGCATTCTGCTTTGACTTTGCAGTTGATGAAACAGTTTAAATGAAGTTGTCTACAGGTTGGTCTTTTTTTCTCCTTGTGTCCTCCTTCACTGACGCTTTCCACTTTTAAATGCAGGATACTTTGGCAACACTACGCACAGACACCCTGGAGTTGAAACCCCTTGCTGGCCTCTCATGTTTTCTGGGGTCAGTGCTAGAAGCCAGGACAGCCCCATTTTGTACTTGTCACATCCCTTTCTGCAGCTTTAGTGAATGGATCACGAGTGAGGTATCATCCAGTACACTTTGAGGCTGGGCTGCACAGGCTCCAAGGGTCCTCCTGGTGTCTATGTCAGCTACCCCTGTTCCCATTGGACTTAATAGGCTCAGGGAACCTCAGCTCTGCTCACACACACATTAGACTCGTATGACTATTTAAATCAATCTAAATAAAACTTAAATTCAAATTCCAGTGCCTTATTTATACTGCCCATATTTCAGTTGATCAGTTGCCACATGTGGCAGTGGCTACTATTGGACAGCACAGTGGCTACTGTCCAATCATCACAGAAAGTTCTGGAGCAGAGTTTGACACACTAGGCGTAGGCCACATCTGGCTCATGGTAGCCAGGCTGAAGCCAGGAGCTAGGAACGCCATCTGGGTCTATCACATGGGTGATAGGGACTCAAGTACTTGGGCCATCTTCCTCTGCCTTCCCAGGTACATTAGCAGAAAGCTGGACTGGAAGCAGAGGAGCTGGAACTAGAACTGGCACTCCAGTGTAGGATGCCTGTCTCACAAGTGCTGGTTTAACCTGCACCACAACACTGGCCCCTGTATCGATAAGTTCTGGATCCATGACTGCAACCAAACATGGGTCAAAAAGATTCAGGAGAAAATGTATCTGTATTCAACATGCACAGGTTTTCCCCCTTTGTCATTTCTTCCTAAGCTATACAGTGTGACAACTCCTTATATAAAGTTTACATTGTGTTAGGTATTATGAAATATAGAGGAGCTGAAGAATAGGAGAGGATATGCATAGGTTATATGTAAATACTATGGCATTTTATACAAGAATTTGAGTAACTGTGGATTGTGGCATCGGGTTGTGGGGTAGGGGTCCTGAAATCAATCCCGTGCAGATACTGAGGGATGGCTCCACAAATACTCTTACCCTCCTCGGCATCCTTTCTCTCAGATTCACAGCAAGGCCACTGGTACAGACAATTTTTGAAGGGGGGAAAGCAACTTGCTTTGCATATGGCCAGACAGGAAGTGGCAAGACACGTGTGAGTATTCAGGGCTGGATGGGGAGAGCCTTCCTGTGGTGCAGCACTGGGCCTGGAGGACAGGGAGCTGCTTCCAGAAATTCAGTGCAGATGCTCCATATGCTCTCACCACAGCAGATGCGGGGTGGGCTGAGGTCGATCTAAATCCAGCCTCCTCCTGGCTTGTAACAGTGTGTCTCACTGTTGCAGTGGAACCAGTAGAATTCTGGCCTGAACCAAGGGCCTTGTGTGTGTGTGTGTGACAAAGGCAGAGAGAGACTTCCATTTGCTGGTTTATTCACCAAATGCCCAGAACAGCCAAGAGCTAGGAACTTATTTATTTATTTATTTATTTATTTGAAAGAGTTACACAGAGAGGGGGAGAGACAGAGATCAGAGAGATCTTCCATCCACTGGTTCACTCCCCAGATGACTGCAATGGCCAGAGCTAGGCCAATCTGGAGCCAGGAGCTTCTTCTGGGTCTCCCACATGGGTGGCAGGGACCCAAACACTTGGGCCATCTTTTGTTCATTTTTCCAGGCCATTAGCAGGGAGCTGGATTGGAAGCAGAGCAGGCAGGACTCAAACTGGCACCCTTATGGGATGCTGGCATCAAAGGCGGCACCTTAACCTGCTATGCCACGATGTTGGCCCCGAGAGCTAGGAACTTAAACTTGCTCTCTCAAGTGGGTGGCAGGTGCCCAAGCCCTTAGGCCATGATCTGCTGCCACCAAGGTTGTGTATTAGCAGGAAGCTAGAACCTCCCAGGACTTGAACCTGCTTACTCTGATAATGGAATGTTGGTATCCCAGTCAGCATATTAACTGCTGCACCGAGTGCCTGTTCCTTCAAGGGTCTTCTCCCCCTTCCTTTTGCAGACTATGGGTGGAGACCTAGCTGGTAAAGCCCAGAATGCATCGAAAGGCCTGTAGGTATTGCATTCTGTCGCATTGGGGTTGGGCACGGAAAGGCAGGTTGTTTACTTATCCAGGCTCACTCTCTCTCAGCCCGAGATGTCTTCCTCCTGAAGAATCAGCCTTGCTACCGAAACCTGGGCCTGGAAGTCTATGTGACATTCTTTGAGATCTACAATGGAAAGGTGGCTGGCAAGGAGCTCCTTGTTTATGCTGTTGGGGTTTCTGACTTTCTAAAACCTTGAATTCTGCTAGCAATTGATAGCAGCCCAACAACCTGTTAGCTGTCAAACTTCTGATGGACCACCTGCCCTGCACGAGTACAGGATTTTATCTGATGGTTTCATCAACAGGAATAGTAGGACGACTCCTCAGGTCTCCATCTCAGATGGGGGTTTGCCTGGGTGCACCATCATCCCTTGGCCCACCTTCTCCGTCACCTGCTTCCCTGATTGTATTCGTTCATTCTCCTAATTGCCCCTTCCTCTCCTATACCTCTCTCTGCTTCCTAACAGTGTGTCGGTTTTTGCGGAGTTGTCTTCCCTAGGGCAAGATTTGAGTACTAAAAGTAGCTAATATTTATCACATTCGGGTACCGTATACTAAGCACTATCTGAAGCACTTTGTGGTTTCAACTTCATGGATGAGAAACAAGGCTGGAGTGGTTAAATAACTTGCCGAAGCTGGCACAGCTGATAGTGTAGCAGAGTTGCTTCAAACCAAGGCAGCTTGGTTCAGATCCCAAGTATAATGCCCTCTGCTGACCTGGGGTCTGTCAGCCTGGGTTCTCTGTCCTTGTCCAGCTGCCATGGGGGCTCTGTAGCAGGGAGGAGTGGGTAGGGTGACTATGGTCTCAGCCTCCTGCTTCCTGTCTGGCACAGCTGTTCGACTTGCTCAACAAGAAGGCCAAACTGCGTGTGCTGGAAGATGGCAAGCAACAGGCACAGGTGGTGGGGCTGCAGGGGCACCTGGTCAACTCCGCTGATGATGTCATCAGGATGATCGACATGGGCAGCACCTGCAGGTCAGAGCACTGGAAGAGGACAGGCCAGATAACGCATGGTTCAGGTGGCAGGGTAGCCCTGAGCCCATTTCTGCTTCTAGAGTGTGGCTTCCCCCCAGCTTGGTAAAGGCTACAAAGTCCAGAGCTCATCAGAACTGAGAATGCTTTCATCTTACCAAAGAAGGCTTTGTTTGCAGGCTATTACCTTGGAGGCATGTTTCCTGACATCTCTGGGTTTTTCCTTGTTCTCTCATCCCTTTGTGGTGGAAGTTAGGAGCTCTAGGTCTGTTCCTGGCTGGAAGTAATGGAGCTGTAACTCCTCTGTGAGAAGTAGGGAACACTGCCATCAAGGCCTTAGGCATGGCCCACTGTGGTGCTGAGCAGCTGCGGAGGCCCTGGAGGAGTGCTGTCCCCTGCAGGGCCGTCAGCTTTACCAGATGGTTCATTACAGCCCCCGCCCTTCCCTGCGTGTCCTCTGTGTGACACAGGACACTGCTTTCCTTCTGCAAGTTCACATGAGCCCCCAGGTCTAGCCAAGGCCCTCACACTGAATCCATTCTGGCTGTCAAGAAAATGTGTTAGGCCAGATTAGTCTGGAGGGAGGGAGAGCTGCTGCCCAAGCAGAGCAGCATGAAGTCTGGGACAGGAACTTAGGACTTCTTAGTGTCCTGCCAGGTCCCTCCCTCACCAGAGACTGAGGTGGCCTGGACTCTGGGGTGCTGGGGGCCTGGTGACCCCAAAAGCTCATAGCCTTTTTTTTTTTTGACAGGCCGAATGGACAGTGAGAGAGAGAGAGGAAGGTCTTCCTTTTGCCGTTGGTTCACCCTCCAGTGGCCGCCACGGCCAGCGCACCGTGCTGATCTGAAGGCAGGAGCCAGGTGCTTCTCCTGGTCTCCCATGGGGTGCAGGGCCCAAGCACTTGGGCCATCCTCCACTGCACTCCCGGGCCATAGCAGAGAGCTGGCTTGGAAGAGGGGCAACCGGGACAGAATCCGGTGCCCCGACCGGGACTAGAACCCTGTATGCCAGCGCCGCAAGGCGGAGGATTAGCCTACTGAGCCACGGCACCGGCCAATAGCCTTTCTTTGTCCTCTTGCTATAGCACCTCTGGGCAGACATTTGCCATCTCCAACTCCTCCCGGTCCCATGCCTGCTTCCAGATTCTTCTTCGAGCCAAAGGGAGAATGCATGGCAAATTCTCTTTGGTGGATCTGGCAGGGAATGAGCAAGGTGCTGCCACTTCTAGCGCTGACCGGCAGACCCGCATGGAGAGTGCAGAAATTAACAAGAGTCTCCTGGCCCTGAAGGCAGTGGGATGAGTGTGGAGGGGCTACCTTGGAGTTCTGCTGGAAGGGAGGGAGCGGTTACACAGGAGGAAAGAAGGGACCTCACTTGTTGCTGCTCTTGCTCCACAGGAGTGCATAGGGCCCTGGGACAGAACGAGGCTCATACCCCGTTCAGTGAGAGCAAGCTGACACAGGTGCTTTCCTTTATCAGGGAAAACTCAAGGACTTGCATGGTGAGTGCAGTAGCTTTGGAGGTGATGGTGCAGGAGGAAACAGTTGCTTTCCAAAGAGACATTTCGTTCTGTCTGTGGGCAGGAGGCTCAGCACCTGGCTGCCTGGGGAGTCCAGGCTCTAACCTGACTTCAGCACCCACCTCGTTGCCCACCCACGTGGGAAGGAAAGGCTCTACCTCCTTTACTGAGTGTAGGTGCAGCTCTTGGTGGCAGTGGAGTGGGGGGGTCATTCCTCTCTTACCTGGTGAGAAGGGAGTTTCAGAATTCAGAAGCCTCTGAGTAAGCAGGAGAGCCAAGCCCTGTCTTGCATGGCTTCCCTCAGGCTCACTGGGTTTCAGCCTAGAAAACGGACCAAAGCATGAGGTTCCAGCTTTGAATGATTTTTCATCCTCCACCCATTTTATCCCCAAACCCTTCAAGGTGAGGTCTACCCTCCCTTCCCTCCAGGGAACAGCCTCTCCCTACCAGCTGGGTATGCACAGCCTGGGTGCTATTGAGTGCTCTCATCTAACTGTGGGTCTTGGCAGCTACTCTGGGAGCAGGGTGTCTAGTGCCCTCACCCTGTGATCTTCAGCCTCGAACCATCCTTTCCCTTGTTAGGGTCGAGAAACATCCGCCACCCAAGGAACAACTCCAAGAGACACTTGCAATCAGCAAGGGGTTTATTGAAACCAGCATGCTGGTGCTCTCTGAACACGCAGGAACAGAGCAGCCCCGAGACGTCAAGGGTCAGGGTTTTTATAGGGTTTTCAGAGACATTCCACCATTTAGCGAATCATCTCACCCGCGGGAAACTCATTATCGAATCAACCCACACCTCTGGAAACTCATTATCGAATCAACCCACACCTCTGGAAACTCATTAGCAAATCAACCCACACCGAAGGAAACTCATTAGCATGTGCGGGGAGTTCAAAGGACATCTGGCTAGAAGGATGGGTGAGGCAAGGGTTACACAGCTTTGGCCCCTCATCCTCACACAGGTGCAGCTGTAAATATAAGGAACCGGAACTATACAACCCCTGCCCCACCGGGTTTCAGCTTTGGGGAAGGAGGTTTAGGCCTGCAGTTTTAATTCTTCACCCTCTTTGGCAGATTGCCATGATCTCACCAGGGGTAAGTTCCTGTGAAAATACTTTAAACCCACTCCGCTATGCAGACAGGTACTAGTACCTATAGCCAGGTAGGATGTGGGCTGGCATCGGGGAAGGAAATGGCAATGCTGGAAGGGGAAGGCTTGGGGACCTCAGTGTCGGCTATGTCCTGTGACTCAGAAATCTGAGGCTTGGGATTTCAGCCATGATGCCAGGTCTGTCCCTTCCTCTCTGGGCCTTGGTGAATCAGCCGTGTCTGTTTGTTAACCAGGCCAGCTTCATCTGTACACCGCTTCTCCTTGGCTGAAGGCAAAGGTGCTCCTCCACCCCTTGTATCCTGGGTGGGGCTGCCTTCCTGCGGTGGGTACCAGGGAGCTGCTGTGGGATCCCAGAGCTTGTTGTTTCCTCAGAGTCAAGGAACTGAATCCCCACAGAGGGCCCAGTGGAGAGAAGCTAACTCAGATGGAAACAGAAGAGATGGAAGCCAGCTCTAAGGGGGCCCGGAGTGCAAGCAACGTAAGGGGCAGGGTGGGGACAGGCAAGACAGAAATGGGGCCTGCAGAGGTGGGGACTGGGCCACACTGTCTTTCTCTTGGCTCCCTTAGTTCTCCAACGAAGAGGATGAACTGTCTTCCCAGGTGTCCAGCTTTAATGAAGCCACGACCCAGATCAGGGAGCTGGAAGAGAGGGCCAAGGAAGAGCTCAAGGAAATTGTGCAGGTGGGAGGTGGCCCTCTTGGGGGAGGGGCTGGGGATCTACCCTGGCACAGCCCTCGGAGGGTCAGCGCTGTGGAAAGGGCAGCAGGGCCCTAAAGCTGGAGTCTTGTACGTAGTTTATGCCAAGTGCCCAGACTTCATTACTGAGAGAGGAGAAGCCATTGGAAGCAGTTTGGCAGAGTGGTGACATGGTTGTGTCAGAGCTTTGGATGCATTCCTGTGGCCGCAGTGTGGGTCCTGGTCTGGGGACTAGAAAGGAAGAGCAAAGGTGGAAGAAGTAAGGAAATAGTTGGGAAGAATCCCAGAGAAATGTTGGTGCCTAGACCATGTGTGCTTGGCCATGGGATAAGACCCAAGCACTATTTAGGGAATGGAATTGGCAGGTTTTGATATCCAGCAAGGTGAAAGAATAGAGCTGCCACTCAGATTTCAGGCTTGGGCATGAAGAACAGTGATGTCATTCATTCAACACAGGGGTTAGAGACAAGTTGAGTAGGAAGAATATGGATCATGCTGAGGATTTCCCAGGAGAGAGGGGGAGGGGGCAGGATATGGGCTGTGGACAGAGGAGTGGCGTCTTTTTTTTTAAGATTGATTAATTCATTTGAAAGATCTTCCACCTGCTGGTTCACTCCCCAAATGTCCACAACAGCTGAAGCTAGGAGCTTCTTCGGGTCTTCCATGTGGGTTCAGGGGCCCAAGTACTTGCACCATCCTCTGGCTACTTTGCCAGGCTCATCAGCAGGGTGCTGGGTCAAAAGTGGAGCTTCTTTATCCGCTATGCCACAACGCTGACCCTTGAGGGGTGGCATCTTGTGCAGGCATCTGTGTTGCATGTACAGCCCCAAGAATGATGTGCAGAAGTCGCTTGGTTGTGTCTGAGTTGATAGGGTCTTTCCTGTGTTGTTACAGCAAGGACCAGGCTGGCTTGAGCTCTCCATGATGACTGAGCAGCCAGATTATGACCTGGAGACTTTTGTGAACAAAGCGGAATCTGCCCTGGCCCAGCAAGCCAAGCACTTCTCGGCTCTGCGAGGTGGGTGCGGCTGGATGGGTGCCAGCGGACTGTGGTGGCCTCTGTGGCTCCCAGGCAAAGTGGCAGAGGCAGCTCTGCTCTGAGTGAAGGGGGGCCTCTGGGACTCCGCTAACCCCATGTATCTCACTGCCCCTTCCTTCCAGATGTCATCAAGGCTTTGCGTGTGGCCATGCAGCTGGAAGAGCAGGCCAGCAGACAGATAAGCAGCAAGAAACGGCCCCAGTGACAACTGCAAAGGAAAGATCTGTTTCACACCCTCCTCTGCAAACTTTGGGCACCTGTGGGTTGGCCAGGGTCTGAGCTGGGATGGGTGTCAGTAAATGCCAAGTATGGGGGCATGGGTCCCAGGGCAGCTGGGGAGGGGTCAGAGGGACACTGGATGCTACTTTCTGTTTCCTCAGTTGCCCCCCTAAGGGGGGCAAGCAAGGAGGACATCCTAGTTACTTGCTGTGTATTGCTTGCTGGGGGAGGGCTCCCTGGGGACAGAAGAAGCTGGGGTTCAGCTCTGCTGACGCTGACCTGCTTTCCACACTCTTGGTCCAGGCTCTTATGTCTTCTAACTGAAAAAAGAGTTTCTGGGATTTCCTCCTTCCTTGCTATTTTTAAAGCCCGAGAGGATCCCTGCTGTTTTATGTGTTTATTCATGTGTCTCACAATAAAGCAAGAAAAAAAATTAGCCTTTTGAGTGGTGTAGGGGGAGGGTCTAGGATGTGTCTGAGCCTTCTGGGACACAGGACAGGACCACAGCATGACCTCTGGGCAGTGCTGGCTCAGTACTACCCCTGCAGTTTCTGTGACAGGCTGAAGCCTCCACTCTGACACATTGCTCTGTTTGATTAGGCACTCAGGAGGCTCTGGGCCCTTTCCTAGAGAAAGGAACTATAAAAAGGAGATGGCCTTCTGCCTATTAGAGTCTATTCAAGAGAGGTTGAAGATTCTGTGGGAACACTAACAAGAAAGTGCTTGACTTGCTGGACAAGCAAAGGATCTGAAGGACCACACCAATTTGATCTCAGAAAATGAGAAGTTTGCCGAGTTGTCTGAGCCAAACACAGGGCAGGGGCAGTTTACAAACTGGAAGACTCCACATTCCAAGTACAGAGTATGAAGTACTGAATGGTAATGAGGTCATTAGTTTCAAGGCTAGGAGCCATGGAATCAAGTGCCTGGTCAGGAGGCTTCAGTCAGGGATATGAGCAGGGGCGCTACCGCTGAAACTCCAGGGAACACGGGGGTCAGCGCACCAGGTTCTGGCCCTCAGCCTGATGCTTCCTTTGTGAAACAAGGACAGTCTACCTCCTGGTGAGAGAATTACTAGTTTCAGGAACCATAACATTTGAATTTCTGGATTGAGAAATTTGGCCTGGTCAAAAGCTTGACAAATGACACCATCTCTGTGACCTTAAAAAACCTTCCAGAAAGATGGGCCAAGTCCTTGGGCACTTGTACCCAAATGGGAGACCCAGAAGAAGCTCTTGGCTCCTGGCTTTGGCCTGGCCTAGTCCTGGCCATTTTGGCCATTTGGGGAGTGAACCAGTGGATGAAAGATTCTTTCTCCTCTCTATATATTTCTGCCTTTCAAATAAATGAATAAACCTTAAATTAAAAAAAAAATAGCAGCCGGCGCCGTGGCTCAAAAGGCTAATCCCCCACCTTGCAGCGCCAGCACACCGGATTCTAGTCCAGGTCGGGGCGCCAGATTCTGTCCCGGTTGCCCCTCTTCCAGGCCAGCTCTCTGCTGTGGCCAGGGAATGCAGTGGAGGACAGCCCAAGTGCTTGGGCCTTGCACCCCATGGGAGACCAGGAGAAGCACCTGGCTCCTGCCTTCGGATCAACGCGGTGCACCGGCTGCAGCACGCTGACCATGGCGGCCATTGGAAGGTGAACCAACGGCAAAGGAAGACCTTTCTCTCTGTCTCTCTCACTGTCCACTCTGCCTGTCAAAAAAAAAAAAAAGCTTCCAAAACCGAATCCGGCCCCTTCTGTAAAATGAAGCTATCAAACCACAGTTAGAAGGATTTTTTTTAACTTTATTTAATGAATATAGATTTCCAAAGTACAGCTTATGGACTACATTGGCTCCCCCCACCCATGACTTCCCTCCCATTGCAACCCTTCGCTTTCTCGCTCTCTCTCCCCTTCCATTCCTATCAAGATTCATTTTCAGTTTTCTATATATACAGAAGATCAGTTTAGTATACATTCAGTAAAGATTTCAACAGTTTGCACCCCCATAGAAACACAAAGTGAAAAATACTGTTTGAGTACTCGTTATAGCATTAAATCTCAATGCACAGCACATTAAGGACAGAGATCCTACATGAGGAGTAAGTGCACAGTGACTCCTGTTGTTGACTCTACAAATTGACACTCCTGTTTATGTCATCAGTAATCTCCCTATGCTCCAGTCATGAGTTTCCAAGGCTATGGAAGCCTTTTGAGTTCTCCGACTCTTATTTAGACAAGGTCATAGTCAAAGTGGAGGTTCTCTCCTCCCTTCAGAGAAAGGTACCTCCTTCTTTGATGACCTGTTCTTTCCACTGGGACCTCACTCACAGAGATCTTTCATTTAGGTCTTTTTTTTTTTTTTTCGCCAGAGTGTCTTGGCTTTCCATGCCTGAAATACTCTCATGGGCTTTTCAGCTGGATCCAAATGCCTTTAGGGCTGATTCTGAGGCCAGAGTGCTGTTTAGGACATCTGCCATTCTATGAGTCTGCTGTGTATCTCGCTTCCCATGTTAGATCGCTCTCCCCCTTGTGTATTCTATCGGTTAGTATTAGCAGGTACTAGACTTGTTTATGTGCTCCCTTTGACTCTTAGTCCTTTCTTTATGATCAATTGTGAACAGAAATTGATCACTTGGACTAGGGAGATGGCATTGGTACATGCCACCTTGATGGGATTGAATTGGAGTCCCCTGGTATGTTTCTAACTCTACCATTTGGGGCAAGTCAGCTTGAGCATGTCCCAAATTGTACATCACCTCCCTCTCTTATTCCCACTCTTATGTTTAACAGGGATCACATTTCAGTTAAATTTCAACACTTAAGAATAACTGTGTGATAATTACAGAACTAAACCAGTCATATTAAGTAGAACAGACAAAAAAATACTAAGAGGGATAATGAATTAAGTTGTTCATTAATAGTCAGGGCTATGCTGATCAAGTCACCGTTTCTCATAGTGTCCATTTCACTTCAGGAGGTTTCCTTTTTGGTGTTCAGTCAGTTGTCACCGATCAGGGAGAACATATGATATTTGTCCCTTTGGGACTGGCTTATTTCACTCAGCATGATGTGTTCCAGATTCCTCCATTTTGTTGCAAATGACTGGATTTCATTGTTTCTTACTGCGGTATAGTATTCTAAAGAGTACATATCCCATAATTTCTTTATCCAGTCTACTGTTGATGGGCATTTAGGTTGGTTCCAGTTCTTGGCTATTGTGAATTGTGCTGCAATAAACATTAGGGTGCAGACCGCTTTTTTGTTTTCCAATTTAAATTCCTTTGGGTAAATCCCAAGGAGTGGGATGGCTGGGTTGAATGGTAGGGTTATCTTCAGGTTTCTGAGGAATCTCCAGACTGACTTCCATAGTAGCTTGACCAGTTTGCATTCCCACCAACAGTGGGTTAGTGTCCCTTTTTCCCCCACATCCTCGCCAGCATCTGTTGTTGGTAGATTTCTGTAGGTGAGCCATTCTAACCAGGGTGAGGTGAAACCTCATTGTGGTTTTGATTTGCATTTCCCTGATTGCTAGTGACCTTGAACATTTTTTCATGTGCCTGTTGGCCATTTGGATTTCCTCTTTTGATAAATATCTATTGAGGTCTTTGGCCCATCTCTTAAGTGGGTTGTTTGTTTTGTTTTTGTGGAGTTTCTTGATCTCTTTGTAGATTCTGGTTATTAACCCTTTATCTGTTGCATAGTTTGCAAATAATCAATCCAGGGGCAGAAGTTCAGTTAACACATCAGTTAGGATGCCTGCATCCCATATCTAAGTCTCTGGGTTCAAGTCCCAGCTCCATCCTCTGTTCCAGGTACTCTTTTTTTTAATTTTAAAAGGGATTTATTAATACATTAGATTCGCAGGGTCACAGCAAATACATTACAATTATTATAACATAATTCTCATCAATTTTCATTAATGTGATATTAATACAAAGAGAATAGATTCAATGTAGTTCATAAATACAATTCTAAAAACAAAATGATGTTTCCTTTCCTTCTCCACTCCTTCCTTTTTTATTTTTTGAAATAACATATCTTTAATATACATTATAGTCAGAGGCTTACTGTTCCACTAATGAAGAGTTCAACATGTAAAAAGTCAAAGACCAAAGTTCCAATTCCTTCTACTGCACAATCTGGGAACAACAGGTGGTAGCTTGAGCTGGTCCCTGTCACCCATGGGAGAGACCAGGATTGAATTTTTTGGCTCATGGCTTTGGACTGGCCCAGCCAGAGCCTTTGGAGGCATACGGGAAAGGAAGCAGTAGACGAGAGTTCTTTTTGATGTTTGTCAGTCTAAATGTGTCTCTATTTCACTGTCTATTTTGCTTCTTACATATATAAACAACATGCAGACAATATTTTAGAGGTAAATTCAAATAGTGGTTAAAAATTTTTAAATTAAATTTTAATTCAATTAATTTAGATTAAATTTTAAGTTGAAACAATTAACATATGACTTTTCTCTAACCTATCAAATTGACTTTTTAATTCAATTAATGTTCAGTTTTGGCCAATATACAGAATTAGAACACTGACAATGTTGGTAGGACTGCAACAGATGCAGCGATTCTGGGAGCAATGAACAATAAGTCTTAATGTGTTACAAGCAAGCTCATTAGCAGTAATTTAACAAAAGTAGAAAAACATTCCTGGTAGGAAACCAACTTTTAGAACCCCAATCAATGTTCCACTTGTCCCAAAAGTTTAATTCTATACCAGTCTCTCTCCTCTGGAATTCAGAATCTTGGCAGTGATTAAGAGAGTCTTCATTATTGCTCATAAAACATACCATTTTTGTGTATCAACATTTTGCCTCAAAAAGCATGTAAGCTACTCAAGTGGAGTAACCCTGCTCTGAGCCCTAAACAGTATTAGATGTTGCAGAAGTAGCCATCACACTTAACTGAGTCAAACCACGGAGGGCTGGACAACTAAAACTTTGAACCTATATAAAACACATATCACTGCAATAGTTCCCTTTAGTCAGTTGTATATTTCTTTAAGTTATGAGCTAATATTAACCAAGTCTTATCAACTAGTGGCTAGTTTCAGGGAAAGAGGGATAAGTATTTCCAGTTAGTCACAGGCAAGTAAGCAGCAGCTCTCGAAAACAATGTTAAAAAGGAAGAGAGATGCCCATGTTCATCACAGCATCATTCAGAATAGCCAAGTTCTGAAACAACTGAGGTGTGCATCAGCAGATAAATAGAGAAATTATTATGATATACCTACTTTTTAAATTAATTAATTAATTAATTTTTGACAGGCAGAGTTAGACAATGAGAGAGAGAGAGACAGAGAGAAAGGTCTTCCTTCTGTTGGTTCACCCCCCAAATGGCTGCTACAGCTGGTGCGCTGCACCAATCTGAAGCCAAGAGCCAGGAGCTTCCTCCTTGTCTCCCATGCGGGTGCAGGGCCCAAGCACTTGGGCCATCCTCCACTGCACTCCTGGGCCACAGCAGAGAGCTAGACTGGAAGAGGAGAAACTGGGACAGAATCTGGCGCCCCAGCCAGGACTAGAACCAGGGTGCTGGTGCCACAGGTGGAGGATTGGCCTAGTGAGCTACAGCACCAGCCAATATACCTACTTATACATACACAGGTGCACGTAAAATGGTAAGGTATGAGATGGTGGAATAGTGAGGATGCACACTGATAGTCTGGAAAAAGATAGTTTAATAAAAGTGCAGTTACTGTAGTTTCAGGGAAAGGCTCAGGGAAAAAATTGCAGAGGAAACTCTTCTGGACCTAGTGGATGTAACACGGACGACCTACAGGGAGAGCAAGGACGCCAACGGCTCCGGAGCCCAACCACAGAGTCTACAAATCTGCGCTGGAAGGGGAGGTGAGGCAAACCATCAGTAACCCGAGACATTGGCCAGGAAACGGCAGATAGAACCTAGAGGAAATGAGGCTTGAAGCCCCGCTGGGGAAAGTTCACCAGGCTAACTAGAGGAAAGGGGAAAAAAAAAAGGGACAGGTATGGACGAGTTTCTATCTCTCCACCCACCCCACCAAGGCGAGCAAGACAAGGAGCAGGCACCATTTTGGACATACGTAAAAGCTGCGTGACCTCAGAGCTGCACGTGACCTCAGAGCTGCGCTTGCCCTCAGTCAAACAGAAAAGACCTGACTCTGGAGGGGAGGGGTGAAATAACAGGAGGTTAGGACCTAGTGAATGTGTGGAGCTAATGAAATGAGATGGTGAAAAAAGAGACGGTGGGTGAGAAAAGTCATGGGGTTCACGAGAGTACTCTCCAGAGACACTACAATTCAGTAACCTTGGCAACCAAGTGGGAGACTGCAGGAGAATCTGAGCCCACACTGAGTGAAGCACAGATTCTTTGTGTGATCCTTGGGAAAGAGCAGATGAATGATATACCCACAGGAGCCAGAGATTGAAAGCTGACTACCTTAAATTCAGCTAAGCTGTGTGGTATTACTTCCCTTCTGAATCAAGAGAGAGAGAGAGAGAGAGAGAGAGAGAGAGAGAGATTTACCACGCCTAACCTGAGTGTGTCACCTTTGGCACACCCTTAACTCTGAAGAACCAGAAACTCTGGCCACACTGATCTCAAGCCTCTAAGGCTCCTCCAAAAGCAGCCAGTCCACTTGATACACTCATAGTATAACGAGAAGAAAACACCACAGTGAGGGAAGAAGAATTCAAAAA